GTCCAGTTCTGCATTTCTTCTTCCTCTTTATGGAAGGGAAACAGGAGGAGACTGCATCTTTGGGAGCAGCTACATTGGAAATTAAAAAACCTATCTTATCTTTTAAACATCCTTAACAAGTTCTTCTCCACAAGGTTGGCATGCAATTAGAACATACTCATTGTCATTGTGCATTGCTTTTTCTCTTCACTAGACATGATGAAGCTTATGTGTTCACCCAAATAATACAGAGACAAGTTCCCTTTTCTTCAGAGGTATGATTCATATTCAGAGAACCAAGTTTTTAACTATGGTTTTACCATTTGCTGTGTGGTCATGAACTTCACCATCCTTGAAGTTCATTTATGTACATATAAAGTGGTAGTAATAATATTAACACCACAGTGTTGCTATGGAAATTAAGGTAAGCAGTTCCTGCTACTCAGGAAGCGGTGGTCATTGACTGTTCAGAGCATATTAACCAGCTGAGCTTGGAAGATGTCCATCCCTGTGGGGAAATACTTAAAAGAAGCAAGCTAAAAGCGGGGAGAGAGTTATTGGGGCTCACCCCATCAAGTCGCTAGGCTCTTGGGTTTGGGCCCATGGTAGCACAGACAGTAAGTACATCATGGTGGGAACTTGTGAGAGGTGCCCGAATGCCCTTCAAAGATTCTTCCCAAAGAGCTGCTTTCCTTTTACTAACCCCTCCATCCTAAAAGGTTCCACCATTTCCCAGCAGTTCCACAGACTGGGGACAAACCTGTAGCATAGGTTTTTAAAAACATTACCTGCATATTTTTCTGTGGCCCCAGGCAGTGTAAATCAAATTCATACCTCTGAATTTTTGATAAAATTCAGGAAATTTATGATTACCTAGATTCACTTACATGTCTATTATAATAGATAAACTAAATCATCATCATCATCATCATCATCATCATCATCATCATCATCATCATCATCATCATCATCATCATCATCATCATCATCATCATCATCATCATCTTTTGGTGTTTTTTGAGACAGGGTTTCTGTGTATAACAACCCTGACTGTCCTGGAACTCAATTTGTACATCAGGCTATCTTAGAACTCACAGACATCCACCTGTCTCTGCCTCCAGAGTGCTGGGATTAAAGACATGTGCCACCACTGCCTGGCTGCCAACCTTCACTTTGTGTGTGGAAACAGTTCTCACTATGTTGTCCTGGCTGCTCTTAAACTTGGATTTCTCCCCTGCCTCAGCCTCCTGAATAGCTATGCTTGCAGGTGTAGTCCACCAGTCCTGGGAACTTTTTTTTTTAAGTGCTGAAATTGTTATTTAGTTACTCATGAGAATAAAGAATCCGGTATGGTTCATAGGTCATGAAATCCTTGTTTTAGCTTGTCCCTCTGTATTTTATTGGCTTCTAATGGAGGTATGAGGTAAGGGGGGGGGTGTTGATCTTTCATTGTATTATATAAACATTTGCATTTTGTGCACACACTTAAATATCATTTTCCTATACTGTATATTTCTTCACCTCTTTTTAATGCATCTAACAGATACAATTGCGAAGGACTTTTAAATTGCTACACATATAGTAAAGAATAACAATGATTTTCAAATAGTACAGAGTGTAATTAATTTTTATAGAAACTGTATGTACCTGCCAAGTGGGTACTCTGGAAATGAAACAGCAACAGCTTCCGACCGACCGTGTGAAACTGCTTGGAAATGTGATTCTCCAATGTTTTCTTTCCCTTATGGCCTGAACACAGTGATATGGAGATTAATTATGACTGTTTACCCAAGACTGGTTCTTCCTTTTTTTTTTTTAAATCATACTTCAGAAGCAGAGTTCCATTGGGCCAAGAACAGTCCCAAGACATCTGAATGTCCTGGATTTTAGTTGGAAAAAGGTTTTCAATGTAGCCTTGAGCAAGTTACCACCTGTCCCCAAAGGTAACATACTCTACACCACTCTTCTGTTTCATCTGTTAGTGCCAGGTGACAGTTTTTTTAGTCCTCTCACTCAGTGTTGCTGTGTAATGAGTTTATATTACATGCCCCAACTCTAAATACAGAGCCCTGATTTATTCTGACAACATGTCCTATTGCATATCTGTTGCAAAATGTATACAATACCTCGTTGTTAGGGGCCTGTTGTGTAACAGCTTCCTGCTTTTGTTAAAATCCACACACAGATTTCTGATTCCCACATACAGTCTAGTTTGTAATCTCTTTTGGCTCTTGTCCTGTCTTCTTTGCTTTTGGTAATATGTTTCTGTGGTCAAAGTGAGTTTCCAAAACAAAGGTATTTATTGATTTGGTTGTATAGGTGAGGAATCAAGGGAAAACCCAAATATTCTTTTGTGTGTGTTTTTATAGTGAGATTGCTGATTTAGCAATTTGCTTGAGATAGGACAGGTGACAGCAGTGGCTTTGCAACAGGGCAAGTTGCCAGAATGATGCTTCTGACTTTCCCAGCTCAGATGTGGTGATTGCAGTTGAGAGTCCCAGTAGCACACTGCCTGCCAAGATGGTTTCTCATTTTGAGTAGTAGTTCTTCATATTTGCCACACTGCAGTGCTACTTGGAAGGGTGCATAAAACTCCTTATTTTATGTACCATGCCCAGAGTTTTGTTGGAGCCAGTGTGGGCAGAATCTCAGAATTTGGGTTGGAATGAGCAGATGTGGATGTTGCTGGTCCTGGACCCTCACTTGGTTATCATGGAGTCAGAGCACTGGGCAGCATTTGGCTGTCTCTGGCTCAAGGTTTTGAGGAGTGAGGGTGCTTATTGCATTTGCTAGGGAAAGATCGAGGAAAAGACTAAACAATTCCAGTCATCTTACCCATTGTCCTGCATCTGTCAGCCTCTGAACTGTTATAATATATTATAAAATTGGACATTCATACTAATTATTATTATTACTAGAAATCAAATCACATTTAGGAGATTCATTGGATTTGATTGTTAACACAGACGTTTTTTCTCATCTGGTTCTTTTGTCCTTCTTCAACCTGTGCCTTCCTCTACCCCCCCACCCCACAGTGACTTGAGATTAGCCACAAGATGGGAGTCTTTTGGAAAGGGGAGAAGTGAGACAGGCTTTGCTTCTTTGCCAAGATTGTCACATCAATCAAGTTTATCATTATAACAAAACCCCCATTGTTTTGGCTTTTAGCTATTCAGGATTTGTGGCAAGAAGGACAGTGGTTGGTTCAAATATACCTTACAGTGTTTATCATAGATTTCCAAAGCAAATCCATATATTTAATTTGTTACCCAAAATGTTTAATTTATTTAACTTTCAAATTTTGTCATTACTTCCACTTAAATAAAATGAATGTAATAATTAGAAGTCAGTCTGGTCAATTTCTCCCTGAAGGCTGTGTTTAACCTGTGTGTGTGATCAGGACTATAGAGCCTTCATTGATTAATATGTGATTCGTCCTTCTCATTCAGGAAGAACTTTCATCCAGGTAGTGCCAATGACCAGTTCTGATTTTTGAACGAAAGGACAAAGTTAAACCTACTCATCATTTCCCATTAGTTTCCATCTCAGCATTATCTGGGGGGTGTTCAGGTTTGTTCCTGACACCTTTTGAATGAATGGACATTAGTTAGAATTCAGTTCAAAGCACAAAATGCTGTCTTCAACAGGACTCCTTTAATTTTGCTTAAGAAACACTTTGTCAGATGTTTCTTTCTTTCTTTTTATTTTTTTAAATAATGCCCTGTGCTCAGATTTTCCTAGAATAAAACACCCTGCCAGGTAAAGGATTTAAGAGATCTAGGCCATGCTTACTCAATGAAATGCAGCAGAGTGGAAAATACCCTGTCTTCCCGGCTCAGAACACTAGGTCTTTTCTGATACAGTGGTTCAAGGGAATTATATTATTTAAAGAGCACTGTTACACCAACATTAACTTACTAAGAGCAGATTTTCGTCTTTTGTAAGATTGTGTGTTGGAATTTCTGTCGGAGGGAATTCACATCTGTGAACAATGGTTTCAAGCTGAGGAGACCTGTGCTTGGACCTGGTGCTGCTCTCCAACCTTTGCCCTCTTTCTGGGAAGACTTGCCTGACTCAGATCATTGAGGATTAATAGCTACTGCATTGCTCAGCACCCTGCAGGGGTTGGGTCAAATACCTGGCTTTGAAGAGTTACTGTTTTGCTTAATAAGCCTAGAAATTTCAGGTCCCACTGCAAAATGGAAACCCAGGAGCCTGTTGATTAACATAGTCTTCCTGCAATCCACCAGCCTGTGGCTCTTTGGATGTCCCTTCTGTTGTGTCTAACAGTGTTGGGAATACCTGGGTAGATTACTAGTGAGTTTGGTCTCTGGCTGTTATAGGAAGATTGGTGCAATGTCATATGCCCTGTACAGTTCATCCTTTGAAGTTTGCCATGTTACAGAGGAAAAAAGGAAAGGAATACTGAATAGTCAAGGCATCTGTGACGATACTATCCTGAGGCAAAGACTGGGGATTCTGGGCCAGATACCAACAAGGGGGACTGCTTGTGACCAAAACGTCTGCTGGGCAAAGGATGGTGGGTAGCTTTTCTGGGTGACCTGATTAAGTCATATGCTTGGAAGGACAACCCGGGGCAAGGGTAGAGGGGACCCAGGCATACACCCAGGACTAGCTCTCCTGGTGATGGGGGGAGCTGTGTCTATGGGTGCAAAGCAAAGGAAAAAGGGGACAGTAGACTAGACGTGTAAAAGACAGTGAGGGACATGTTCATAGCTGGAGAAACAGGTTTATACACTTACTGGTTTAGATACTTTTGTGGTTTAACTTAACTTGAAATATAACCAAGCAATAAGACAAAGTATTTGGGATTTTACATACTTTCCACCTAGCTATATTTATACTCCAGCCTGGACTCGGGAAAATGCTACAGGATCTAATGTGGTTAAAAGCCTCGTCACCATTCTCATCACCATCTCTCAGTGTTTACAGAATGCTCAACCACAGCCCCATGCCATTGAAAAGAGGTCTCTAATCAGAGTTTGCTGGTGTTTTTCCAGGTAGCCCAGCCATGACCCATAGGAATCTGACATCCTCCAGTCTGAATGACATTTCTGATAAACCGGAGAAGGACCAGGTAAGCAGAGACTTTTCCTCTTTGAAATTGAAGACTGACCATGTATCTAAGAGATGCTGGGTTGGATTAGAGATAGTGGGTGTCACCACTAAAATGGACATTATGTGCAGACAGGAATTTGCTCTTTTTTCTAAGGAAGAAAGCAAAATGTATGGGGACCAGAGGAGATACCAGTGAGTCTTGGTTTTGACCCTTGTGATGCATTCACCTGGGCTCTCTTAGCTTTTGAAGCTACAGTTGGCTGAGTCTGGGCATATTAGTAACCTTTACCTTGGGTTTGTTGTGGGGTTTAAGTGGGGTATTTTATGAAAAAGTGTTTTGGTGTACTATAAAAGGCTAAGGGGTGCTGGTAATTGTATATCGTTAAGTATCTGTAATAAAAGGACAGATTTTGAACTTCTGCCATTTTTTTTCTTTTGAAAAGAATGTGGTATAAACTGGGTCATTTTCCTAGTTGACAGGGAATGTGTAAATACATTATATTTCAACAACATAATATATTGATACTTCTTGAGAAAAAAATCATAGCACGTCAAAGAAATGGAAGTTCCATGTTTTATGACCACAGAGGGGCCTTTGGAAAGTGCTGTTTATGCAAACACTCTGCTGTAGAACACACCTATAATCCTAGTGCTCGGGAGGTGCAGGCAGGGGGATCCCTGGGGTTGCTGGGCAG